AGGTGGTGTGCCTCATGCTGTTAATGGAGCTATTATTTTGTCTCGTAACAATATATCATCAGCTACTTATTACTATGGAACAATTAGAGTCTATCATAATGGATGGGGTAACATATGTGATGACTACTATTATAATTCAGCTGAAGCTAATGTCATTTGTCATCAGTTGGGATACACTGGATATTCTAGCTACTCTAGAGCTGGTCGTGTCAGGTGTGTTTGTTACTTGTATAGTTACTATTGTTGTTGTGTAGTTATGGTACAGACTATCTCTCTATGAAATGGGATGATGTTAACTGTGCCAGTAGCAGCTATTTATCTATTGCTCAATGTTCCTACTCTACTAACATTGACAGTGGTTGTGTTAATAATAACAGTTATGATGCTACTGTATACTGCTGTAAGATATTATTATTGCTAGATTGTATTAATCAGTATTATTACAGATACTACTAGAATTTGGAACAGTAATCCATATGCCGGTATGGTACGTCTTCAAGATGGAGATTATTCTAATGAAGGACGTGTTGAGGTTTATTGTAATGGACAGTGGGGGATGATATGCAGTGATGGGTTTGACTCAAATAATGCTAATACTATATGCAAGCAACTGGGATATGATTCTTATGACAAATTTAATCACACCTCAATGTTAGTTTTATTGATTGTTTAAAATCATTTTTTGGGATTCATTTCAGATTTAATAACACTATTCAGCCTATATGGAACACTAACATGTATAGTACAGCAAGTCATAGGTGTTTTGGTTCCGGAAACACTTGCCCATCAGCTTCAGTGACCAACTGCTCTCAGTTAAATGATGTTACACTTACATGCAGTTAGTGAAATAAGTTGTTGTTGCTTGATATTGTAATACTTACTTAGGAGACATTTCATCTTCTTCCAGACAAACTGTTACTCAGTCCACTTGTTCTGGACTTATTCTTAGTCAGTTGATTCCTATGATTGTGTAATAATAGTTTTAAAAATTTTATAAATTAGACTCTGTTTCAAAAGGAGCACTCGTTTTGACTCGCGACAACGTACCATCACCTTCTTATTACTATGGAACTGTTAGAGTGTATTATAATGGATGGGGTAACATATGTGATGACTACTATTATAGCTACACTGAAGCTAATGTCATTTGTCATCAGTTGGGATACACTGGAGCTTCAAGCTACTCTAGAGCTGGACTAACAAGGTATTTATTTATCAATTATCATAACTATTGTTGTTTGTAGTTATGGTACAGACTATCTCTCTATGAAATGGGATGATGTTAACTGTGTCACTAGCAGCTATTTATCTATTGCTCAATGTACCTACTCTACTTACATTGACAGTAGTTGTGTTAATAGTAACAGTTATGATGCTACTGTATACTGCTGTAAGATATTATTATTGTTACAATGTATTTATCAGTATTATTAGATGTCACTAGAATCTGGAACAGTAATCCATATGCTGGTATGGTACGTCTTCAAGGTGGAAATTATTCTAATGAAGGACTTGTTGAAGTGTATTGTAATGGACAATGGGGGACAATATGCAGCACTGGATTTGGTACAAGTGATGCTAATACTATTTGTAGGCAGCTTGGATATGACTCTGGTTCAAGGAGATATGATTCATTGTAAAAATGATCTACATGAACCTTAAATGATGTTTAAACTCACTTTTTGTAGATATGGCAATGCAAGTCAGCCTATCTGGAGTACTAACATGTACAGTACATCATATG